TATGAGATATTATTTAGGGGTACACCGTTACGCACCAATAGCTGCACTTTCCAGGGACTTGGGGTGGGTACCAAGTCGTTACCGTAGGTGGTTGAATATGCTTAGATTCTGGAATAGATTGGTTAATTTTGACGATTTATTTGTTCTGTAATTGTTTTATATTTGTTTGTACTATATACATGTATCGCAAGTTACTATAATAAATATTTTTTTCTTCTTCTTTATTCTATTCTCTCCCAAGAAGGGAATAATTAGATTTTTGCAGTACCAGTTTTACATTGTTCATTTGTAAATTTAATTATAGAAAAGAAAAAGGGTTGATAAATGGACTTAAAGATTACTTATACAATTATCTTCTTCTTATTGGTTTCGAAACTGAAAGATTTCAAATTATCATTGTTCAATCATTTTGTTGTCCTATTGTTATAGGCCAAGGACATAAAATAATCCTGAGCAAGTGTAACAATTAAAAACTCATTTGCAAAGAATCAGTGTTACCATAGTTCTAGACATAAAGAAAAAGTTGCGTTTGTAAAAACAGCTGACTAATCTACAAATTTAAACAAAGCATGGAAATGTACAATTGTATTCCACAGGAATATCCCTGGTATAAATCATAGTAATTAAATAACTTGAAAGTAAACATACTCTTGGATATCTCTTATTTATGGTTACTATTGTTTATGAAAATACACGCATTAGTATTTTTTATGTAGATGCATTTTTCATTATTTACTGAATTCACCGCGTAATATTTGAGATGTCTTAACGTCTAGTACTTTTATTAAATAGAATTGTAATATATTTATTAAGTATCAAATTACTAGTTATAACAATGACAAAGCTTTTTTGAATGTCGACATTGGTATTGAATTTCATGGGATATTTACTAATTTCGAGACAGATAATTATGCGTAAACATAACCAGATATAGTTTTATTCATCGTTGAATTATCGTTTGCTAACTAACACAGCATTTTGGCGATGCGCATTGCATTCATGTTACAAACATTAAGAGAATTATTCAATTGCTGTGTTGCACAATTATTGACTTGTAAGCCATTTAATATTACACAAATATGGACTTTTTGGCTGGTGAATATGATATGATATGTACTGGAAAAAAAAAATATTGACCGATGCGATAGCTGTTTTATTATGTAATAGCTTTTATATGGCTTATTAAATCTGCCATTGCCTGCGACGGAAATCGACATTTTTCAGCTTGTCTACTTTTTCCATAAATTGGCCCTATCTTTTAAATAAGCGCATTAGCACACACATTCTTATTGTTCTTAAAAATGTAAAGAAACTGAAATATACCAATTTGACTGTTATTTAAGAGTCATCCGATGTTTTTTGTTGTTGTTTTTTTTTTCAGAATAATATATAACAACAAACTTGGCGTGACGTCACGTCATAGTATCGCGTCTTTCGGGGGGATTTCCAGAAAATCTTTTTTCTAGAAGAATCAACAGTGACTATACTCTGAAAATCTTTTTAGGAAAAAACAGTGAATATACTCTAATATTGACCTGTTATTTTTTTTACAAAAAGTTGTGTGTTAGCCAATCAGGGAGAGACATTTCAAAGCTATTTATAGATTATAATAAGTAATAGAATGAGCATCGAACCACGAGGCTATCTGATTTGTACGAGGGGGCGTAGCCCCCGAGTATTAATCAGATTGCCGAGTGTTTTGATGTTCTTTCTCTTTTTTATCATAGTCAAACATAAAACACGTTCCCTGTTGTCACAATATGAAATCCCATGAAAAAGTATTCAATGAACGAGCATCTGAATTTGATTTTTCTGTCGCTTTCCCTATAAATATCTACCGTCACAATATTTAAACCCCAGCAAAAATGAGTCAATCAATGGGCATACTCTGGAGTGCGGGTAACATATACCAGTTAACGCACTGTGCATGTATATGTATACGATTTATCTCTGACACATTTTCAACAGAAAGGTACATATTGACCGAGGCGACAGAATATTACATCATATTTAATGACACACTAGTCAGTTATTGTTTTAGTATATGAATAGGCTAAGACTTAAAAGAATCACAAAATCTTTTCCTGTTTCATTGAAGCGCGCGAAAAAAACAACAAACATGTCTGTCGTTCAACGACTACGCGAACGTTGCGCAAACAAAAGTAATTCAAGTTTTTACTCCTCATTGCAATGGAACTTTTAACAATTTTAGTAAAGCAATAAATATATCGAGAAATCGAGAATTATTCCAAAAAGGACAAAAATGCAACAATTATTTTCTATGCGCACGCGTAATTAACAGTCATTGAATATAAGTCTCCAATTCAGCCCTTGAATATGATACTACACCCAGTGAATATGATTTTATAAGATGTTCTGTTGACTACTGTTTGGGCCAATGATATTATGTACAACTATACATTTAGATCATATAATAAAATAAATACATGTATATGATTTCTTGTACTGTTTTAAATTCATAAATATTTTCTAATTTATATTTTGATGAAAGTGTGTGGAATCATTTATAATTAAATAAAAGGACATGTAAATAACTAACGTATTTTTATGTCTAAAAGTAGAGTCTTGAGTTTTACTATTGTTATCTTTTTGTTTAACTTTGGAGAGGCGAAATAGAACTGTTTTTATTTTATAGCAATCTGTGAGTGTATAGAAGTCATACATTTCAAAGATTATTGTGTTTTTATTTTTAAGACACGGTTGAAGTTTCGTTCGAAGGCGTGAATAACATTTATTCTTGTTAAAAAACAGCACACGAAGTGTGACTGTACGTTGGTTCTTAATATGCGTGACTCCGGGTGCCATGTTTAAACTGCTAAATGCAATGACGGCCCCGGTAGTTTTATTATCAAATCATAACTGTCTCTTCACATCACACATGGAAAAAATATATACGAAATATAGGTAACGAAATGCGGAATAACCGATTTGGGCGTACATATTTTATGCAAGATAAGCGTTAATGCGACTTTTTTGTGCATTAACATCTGCAGAAACACTTAGATTTATTAATTGCTTTATAAGAACAAGTTGATCTATATGATTAAAATCAATTTAGGTGTGCCTTGAGATTAGAATTGTATTTAGCTCTCTCGTGGATTTTACATAGTGTGATTTCATCCAGCGTTTTCGCCTCCCGTGCGATCCTGGCCCAATAAAATTAAGATCTAGTATCGCGCTGAATAAACATAAATTAAATTATTTATTGTTTTAATCCTGACGAAACAAACGGTCAAAATTGCCAAAACTAGCACTTCACTTTTTGTAAGACAATATTTTTTTCGAACAAGGAGAAGGAGAATTGATGTTACATTTTAATATAAAAAGAAAAAAATACGAAAAAATTTTCAGTTTGAACTTACATGATCCACTAGCATCCCTGCAATAGTTATTGGCGTGATGTATATTTTCGTCATTCGGAAAATGATAATTTTCTGTATTATAATGCTTATGTGGTATCTGTCTGTCCCATCGTTGACAAGTATATCCCTTCGTTGTAATGTTCAAAGTACCATTGTATGTCGGAGAGAAAATGCATCCTGTACATAAACAGATATATTTCCTTAAAGAAAATTTGCATATATCATTTGATTAATTTTTTAAGTGGTTTTGTATCGCGCATTCTCATTATATGGTTTGCGTTGGGTGACAAACAAGAATCATAATAAAGAATATTTGAAACATGTACAGATTAATTTAAATCCGAAACATAAAAGAAAAAGAAAACTGCATTTACCTTTGCTTGAAACAATAAAAACCGTAAGTAGTAAAATTTCACGTTGACAAACCATTGCTTTCAGTCGATTATGAAATTAACTTTATTGCTATCAAAGCTTTACTCAAATGACTTGTTAATTTTCTTGATTACTAATTATATATAATTTTAACTGATAGACTGCACATCACGTACTGCTTGAATCACACCAGTTACTGATATTTTCGTGAAGGGAAATATATTTTCTTTATGATCTGTTTTGCTGTAATATTTACCCAGTCATTGCTAATGAAGGCTTTAATTACTAGATTGTTGTTTTTTGTTGTTGGTTGTTTTTGTAATTACAAATGTATGTATGGGAAAGATACATGTACACGTCTTTTAATTAGGTTAAATAAAAGTGTTGAATTTCACTTTTATTAACATTTTAACACTTGTTTAGTATAAAGTAGACAACTCTCTAATACGAGTAACATTAATTCTTTATTTTTTTGTGTTTCAACTATTGAGCATAATGAGTAACAAAGAGAGTACCATTTTGTAAAATAAATATCTTATTTAATTGGTAACTTTAAACACAAAATATTGAAATAAGAAAGCTGGAGACGTGATGCTTATGTTGAACGATCCATATATCTTCATTAGTTTTTATTGAGATTTTTCGTCTTGTGACAATGGCAATATATTCACGACAGTCATATCTAAAAAGATTAGTGTAACTCATAATCGTAAATCAAACATGTTATTATTTTAAATTTTGTTTGGTGCTGATCATGAAATAAATTCTAATCAAAAGCTCCTTGTAGTTCTTTTCATTTATTATTAAGAGGTTGAAAAAATTGTTTCGTTTAAAGAAATTGAATAATGTGGCATTTGATATTTGAAAGTTATTAACGATTCTTATTTTAAGTTTAATGTTTTGAAAGATAATCATTTGTTCTAGAATAGTCTTTATATACTTGAAAACATTAATGACCCAAGGCGAAGTGGTGCTTTTAATGTATTTGCAAAGTAACATTTTGTTAAGGTGACGACAAAATACTACAAGCATAGAAACATGAACTAATTACGTTAAGCCCGTAACGGTGTTCTGTTGGAGCCGTCGATCTATGGCATCGGCTACTGATATATCAAAATTGCAGAAGCGACGAGTCGATAACACGATTAAACGAGACGATAATGCGATCCCATGATGAACAATATGCTGCAGTAAAGAGATGATGCACCAAAACAACGAGACAGTGCGCTCGAGCGTATCGCCACGTTACTTCGGCGCATCATCACGTCGTGTCTTTGCTTGATCCTCTTGTCGCCTTGGCGCATCATCACGTCGTGTCTTTACTTGATCCTCTTGTCGCCTTGGCGCATCATCACGTCTTGTCTTTACTTGATCCTCTTGTCGCCTTGGCGCATCATCACGTCGTGTCTTTGCTTGATCCTCTTGTCGCTTTGGCGCATCATCACGTCGTGTCTTTGCTTTATCCTCTTGTCGCCTTGGCGCATCATCACGTCGTGTCTTTGCTTGATCCTCTTGTCGCCTTGGCGCATCATCACGTCGTGTCTTTGCTTGATCCTCTTGTCGCCTTGGCGCACCATCACATCGTGTCTTTGCTTGATCCTCTTGTCGCCTTGGCGCATCATCACGTCGTGTCTTTGCTTGATCCTCTTGTCGCCTTGGCGCATCATCACGTCGTGTCTTTGCTTGATCCTCTTGTCGCCTTTGCGCATCATCACGTCGTGTCTTTGCTTGATCCTCTTGTCGCTTTGCCGCATCATCACGTCACTTTATTACATCGTCTCGTGCCTTTGGCACAAAGTCTTGTCTACCATTGCGTTATCGTCTCGTCACTTCCGTGTATCGATTTGTCGCTTTGAAACGAGATGCCGAAGCAACGAGACGAAACATCTAAGCTACAAGACGATAAACCGAAGTGACGAGACGATGCCAACATAAAACGATACGCCACAACTATGACACGGTAATGCGGGGACAAAATAAAACGATATGCTGAAGTGTAAAGATGATAGACCAAATCAACAAGGCGATAAGGCATTACAATAGAGCGACGAGACAATGCGACGTCACGATACTTATTTCGCGTTCTCGTATCGTCTCGTTATTTCGGCGTATCGTCTCGTCGCTTCATTATTTTTTTTATTTTTTATTTTTTTTTTCTTTTTCGGGGGGGGGGGGGGTGGGGGTTACGTCACATCGACACAGTATAGGTCATATCGCGACATCCAAGCTTTACTGGTGCCCTTCCATGCATTATTTCAGACACGAACGGGCACCTGAGTAGAACCACCGACTTTCCGTAAGCTAGCTGGATGAAAGAATCCAAAGTCCCTGTCGGGATTCGAACCCACAGCGGTGAAGGGCAAGTGGTTTGAAGTCAACGACCTTAACCACTCGGCCACGGACGCCCCTCGTCGCTTTAGCTTATCACTCTATGTCGCTTTGGCGTTGTAAGTATATCACAGATTTCCGATTGCACAAACGGAACACCGTACAACATATATCTGTTGAGTTTTTTTCATTCCGGTCATCATGAGTATACCCATTGCCTGGCTTAGCACGCATTTGTTTGTTGTTTTTATTTATAGCGAATGTAAGCTGTTTTTACCTAAAGAATCGTTACAGTTTCGGAAATTCAAGTTTATCATTGAGAAATTATTTTTCTTGTATACGCATATGAAGTGCAGTAAAGGAACGTGACCTTGCTTTACGAATCGCATTATGGCATCTTTGGTACCATTTATTTTAAAGAATCTTATATAAAAATGTACAAAGTCGTGGGAAGTGACCTGCGGATAGAATGTGTGTTACATACACAAGGTTAGTCGAACTGAAAGTTAAAATGTAAAATCATGCTGCCAAATCGAAAGGTAGTATACAGTTCAATACTGTATTCTTAAGATAGTGTTTTAAATGAAATCGCTATTGACATTTATTTGCCAAAACTTTGTTTGTTTGTATTTTGTTCATTTGGAATAACATCAAACTTTGTAAATATACGACAGGTAAGTCTCATACGTAGTATTATTTATGTATGAATGTACTTTTAGTTAATCAATTATTGACCTTGTTTGGCTGATTTTGGCTCAAATACTAACTGAGACATGATGAATTAACATTATTTGATGCGAGAAACAAAATTCATTACAAGGTAAAAATTAGAAAGACAACATTATCAACAACATCCACGACGACGACGGTGATGACAAACCCCCCCCCCCCCAAAAAACAAACATCCAAAGTAGAACAAGAACAAACACTAAAGTTATTTTTCTCACCTGATTGTAAATTTTGTATAACATTTCATTCAGAACAGTTTTAATACATTGTTTCATCAGGTTTCATGCCTTCAAAACAGGAAATAACTTTGTATAGGTGTCTATTGACTTTATCATCACTGGTCTTAATAGCGGAGTAAAAATAAACAAACAAAAAACTGGTGGTTTTAAAAGTGTATTACTTAAGCGGTCGTGATTGTGGATCATTTTGTCATTTAAACAAAGAACAGACGTTTCCGTTACTTTAACATTAGTTTTATTAGCGGAGTGGTCTTAAATCCGAGGTGGTATGGTCTTCCGTAAGATTTCTACTGTACGTTATTAAAGACACCAGAATATTCTGTATATATAGTATAGGATCAGCGTAAAATAAGGTATATTGATTGTGTGTCGAGCACCTCAGAACCAAACTGCATTTGAATGCCGTCAGAAGTTAAATTTGCATGATTACGGAAAACTGTAAATATTTGCACACAACATAATAAAATATAACAAAAATTCGAGAAATTTTACACAATTCTTTTTGTCATCATGTACACTATGGCATCAAGAAGGATAATTTATGACTTCACGCGACAAAGATCAGCCAAAAATGACTTGAAACCACTAAAAAGCATACAATAAATGGACAATTGTTATGCATGTGAAATTATTTTCACTCGTGGCCACGACATTCATAAAAATATTGCATCTGGTGATTTTGGTGTTCACTCTGATCTTACACATATATAAGTTCGGCATTATGTAATGAATATCGAATCCCTTTGAGGAACGCATTTGATAATTTGTTACAATAAGATCATTCAAATTACAGTGTATTTTATGATATATGATATTCAAACTGTTACTCATAAAGTTAAGTGCTGTTTCGTTTATTATCCGGAATAAATACTGTATGATGTGTAATTCCTGACTTACTGTAACCAAAAGTAAAAACTGAACTTACATGGATTCAATTTTTCATCTAGCAAGGCTTTATCTGGTGAACTTAATAAACTACTTTACTATTCTTTGAGCATTGTAGATATCCACCAGCCACAAAAACATACAGAAATCAAATAATGTTAGTGCCCGCTGATACTTATAAACAGTATACATTTCAAAAAATAAGGTAAACATTAATTAAGGTATAATGTAACGTTATTTCTAATATACGGTTTAAATTAGAGAAAGTATATAATAATACGTGCAGCACAAGAGTTTATTTAATTGTTGCTTGAGTGTGAATTTTGCTGTCCATGTAAAACCTGTTTTAATTTAAAGTGACATTATGCCCATCCAAGGGTATAAAGTGAGTGAACAGGTGAATATCAAAATAAGTTTTAATTTTATCATAATTCCTTTAAATTTATAACTTACTTCCCATAAACAATAAATAATGCACAGATCCAAATAAAATTCTTTAAATATCTATTAGAATTTACCTCTAACGTTCGGTTTATAAAAAGAGTGGGGCAGTCTTTTTATATTTTAGGCAGATTTATAATTTTATCCTGAACGTTTACCAATATCAACTCTTGGTCAAACACCATTTTAACAGTCAATCTTTTGAAATATAAAGTTAAATCAGCTCAACTTGACTATGAAAATATGAGCATAATGTCACTTTAATTTTCATTTTTTTTTCATATCGCAGAAAACACGATTTGCACACACTCTTTTTCTTTTGAAACCTTTACAAATAAACATTCAATATTCGAAGCCATTGAATTTGATTATCTATGTCATATTAATATTATCATTTTCAAAACGTTGAGTACACACTGAGTTGTGAAGAATTATTATCAGTGCGGACATATTATCAAATTTAATCTTTAGCGGGACTTTAAAGTTTATGTTTATTTAAATCAGATGTTATATAAACGTAGAAAGTCACTAACTTATATCAAAACAAGTAACCGGACATTTGTTGTAATGCCATACATTTAATATGGACTATAAACTATTTATCATATTGCAAATATGTTTTGTATTTGCTGTATTATTGCCTTGGTTTGATTGCAGAGGTAAGAAATTAAGATAACTTTATAAAAACACAAAGTCATTGGTTATAATAAAGAGAAAAAATGTAAATTCTTAACATACTGACAATTTTGTGATAAAGAAAGCTATCAAAATGTTTCTTTTATTGATAATACTTAAATGTTAATAGTAAAGCATTTTATATTGTATTGAGTGAAATAAAGCAGTAACTTTTACAGTTTTGAATTTAAAAAAAAATGTACATATTAAGAGAAAATACGACAGCAGGAAAGCTGTATAGTATTATATCAATAACTGTCTATAAGGTACTGTATTTCGTTTAACATCAGAACGAGTGTGTAAGCCACTCTTAGTTTACATTTATTAATGTCAATTTCTAACCAATCAATCCTCACTTATATTTTTTCCTCTCTTTGTTTTTTTATTTTAAATTCATTTTTGCATTTCAATTCTTTACTAAATATTTGTGAGAAGTTGTATTTTAGCGATTGAACATCTTTATGGAAGAGTTCAACAAATAAAACTATAATACTTTACATAAATGCAAACCTTTTAATAGTATAATAATCACGATGGCGTCCGCTTTGGGAGTTTAATCGGACATCTAAAATTAAGCGGTGCATTATCTTGATGGAATTTACGAAGCGCGCATATTCAAATGTCAAATATTTACGGTACATTTTACAGCAATGTTTATAAAAATGAATTCTTCCGGTCCATCGTTTAACTTTTACCATAATGGTAGGGCAAAGTGCAGTATAATTAGAGAAATAGCACAAATGTTTACAGGCTGGTTGATCGGTCATCTACTATTTCTTAATTAGTTTCGTCACACATTGACAGAAATGTATCAATATCAGTGGCATGGTTTTGTTGTTTCTTACATGATTAGGTTAAATGCATAAATTCTTGAATATTAAAAAATAAAATACATGATTGAAGGCCCATTAAGCCTTCGGAATGCTATCATTGCTGTTTTGTTATCCAAAACATTACTCATTGGCAATTTAGATGAACTATCTTCCGCTTCTTTTACTCTTTGGCTATTGGTATTATCATAGTTATTAAGTAATTTGTATTGAAGTCTAAATACTACTTTTTTATATTAATTTGTGCTATCTTCACGACACATTATTACACATTCAACGCTAAATGATGTTTCTATTTTTTATTTAATAATATCATAAAAGTGAACTGTTTTTGATACACTGAAATCAAAGATTTTTCCTAACATTAGATTCATGATGAATTTTCTGCGATGCATAAACACTTTTAGCAGAAACTGATACTGTGACACTGAACATGTGGTAGAAAATATTCTCGTTTGATATTACTCGTTTTACTGTATATGATGATAATATTGAAGTATATTTACTTGAATAAAGTTTTAGACACATATACCAGTCATCCATGCCGGAGATCATGCATTGCAAACAAAACAATGACGTGTTCTTTTGACTTCACATTGGAACTTTATTTCACACTTTCAAAGGCGTGTTATAATTGTCCAATCAACAAAACAGATTGCTCCCGACCTCACTGTATTGCGGCTGATGGGGTCCCGCGCGGTGTTCTTGTAGTAAATAGGATGCTACCCGGACCAGGAATACATGTGAGTAAAATATGACGAATGTCACTTCACATATATTCTTTTTTTGTCCATTCTCATTGCCATCATAACTTGATTTTAAAAAATGTCCGCATTTAAGACTATTGATTCAAAGTTTCATAGATAAACTTGGAAAATAATTATTTTCTTCAAAGTTCAAACAATTTAAAATTTGAAATTCTATTTTATATCTTCAAATATACTGTATCAAATGCTCTGCTTTGTGAAATTTAACACATACATGTATTTATCTATTTTGTCATCATTTTTTGTCGATAATACCTAAACGTACAAACGATTTTCTATCTGATAACACAGTAAACACAGGACTATTTTATCGCTGTACCGTTTTTTATAATGCCATTAAAGTTTTGAAATTAAAATAATTTTCTTTCGATAAGGTCTGCGAAGGTGACACAGTCATTGTTAACGTTATTAACGACTTAACTGGTGGTGAGGGAACCAGCATTCACTGGCACGGGGTATTACAGCATGGGTCTCAGTACATGGATGGCGTTGGCATGGTAACGCAGTGTCCAATACCTGTAGCAACTTCATTTCAATACAAGTAGGTTATTGTTTCAAAGACCAGACACGCGCTTGAAAACTTTAAAGCCTATCAAGCAAAGTTAAGCGTAAAAAAGTAATGAGAGTAGGTTGAAGAATCTAGCGGGGATTTACTGTTATTCACTTGCAGTTATCCTTTTACCAATAAACCGTACTGATGTGACTAAACACTGTTACATCAAGAAAATATACTTTATCATGACATAAAACATAAAGTTTTATTTAGCATGAAAACTAATTTATTTTCGATATTCCTTTCAAGGCGCATTTACGTGGACCTTCAGTACTTTTGACTACATTGCATTCTTTATAAGTATTTTACTTTTTGTATGTTTATTCTTTAAATAATTACCCAGCAGTGCATTTACCACTCATTAGGCCATTCAAAAAAACATTACGTGTATTTACCAATTGTAAAAATCTCCGCCTTGTCGTCAAGGGATTTTTATTTTCAAAGCGTTGACACCAAATACCCCCGATGACTTTTTCGTTCTTGACAATTTTGGAAGCTACTGTCTGTTTAAAAATTTTAAAAACGAATTTTGGGCACCCTTTCATTTTTTCCCTTTTACTTTTCATAGGTTAAAAGCAAATATCCGGGGTACACATTTCTGGCACGCCCATTCGGGCCCTTCGGGGCGTTCGATGGAAATTTTTTTGGCTTTGTTGTCCGTAAAATGACGAGTTTGAACCCTCACTAGGGACTGTATCGCCACATCTTAAACTTTACTATTTTGAAAAATATTTTGGGGGAACTGAGGGGAAAAAAAATTTTTTGCCCCCGGCCCATCATCACCCCAGGGAGATAAACAGCCCCCAAAATCTATTTTGAAAAAAGGGAAACCCAAATTAGCTTGTTTTTACAAATTTTCAAACATAAAATTAAATTTAAAATTGATCGAAATTTTTTACACCATAGTCAAAAAAGGGCAGTTGCAGTAAAATTGTATGTGCAAAGATCATTTTGAATGACGTTAAGTCCCATTGAGCCTTATTTTACTTCAGTGAGATATTTGCAAAGTAAATAAAAGTATCCGTCTTCATTGTCGTGTAGTTAATGTTAAACTTTGATGACATGCACGATAAAAATGCTGATTAATGCGCTTTTTTCTATATTGATCAGACCCTATGCACGTACGTACTTGGTCGAGAGCATGCATGATAAGACGACAAAAATGGCGATGTCAATCTAGCTCTCCTAATGTCTTTAAGGTTCTTCCTAATTTCGCATTAAAAAAACAAAAACAAAAAAACAACAACAACAAAAACAAAAACAACAACAAAAAACAACAACATATTTTTCGCGTTTTATCATCGTGTCATCGCATTTAAATCGCCCTTGCAAGGGCGAAAAAATAAATGACACTGGAATTGCATAAATTTTCATTGTACTTTAGTCATTGTTGGTCACTTTACCCTTTATGCTATTTTATCTTATATCACTCAAAAAATTTTTAGATTCTCCTATTTTTTATGCCCAAAAAAACATTTTTTTGTTTTATAACGATTCGTATTTTTCCGTGTCTCACTAATGATAGGGGAAAAAAAAAATTTTTTTCAAAAAAAACGACTGGTTGAAATTTTAAAAAACCAAAACTCAAAACACCTGTCGAATATTTCGCTTTTGGAAAAAGGGGGGGGAAAATTAAACCCTTTTTGGGGTTTTTCAGCAACGGAAATGCTCAAAAGTCCAAAAAGGGTTCCCCTTTTTATCATTTTTGTCCATTTTTGATTTAAAATTTTCTATAACTTTACCATTTACAAAAAAAATGTGTAGGTAAAAAGTATATCATTTTTAAAAACTTGGCCTTTTTTAAAGCATTTTTAACAATTCTAAAAAGCAAAAATTTTGTTTTAAAATTTTTTTTACTTTAAGATATCAGAGTCCTATATTAAAAACCTTTGGGGGTTTTTTTAGAATTTTCCCAACAAACACCACAAACCTTTTCCCCAATTTATTGCTTTTTGAAAGGGAAATCCTTTTGGGGAAATTGGGAAATAGCAACTATTCAACTTGTTTGCAGGGGAGCGCTAAAAGGGCTTTTGGGGTTGAACCCCCAACAAATGTAGGCAAAAAAACTGGGTTTCCCAGTGCGGGGGTTTGGGAAAAACTGTGAACCCAAAAAAAAAAGCCCCAACAGGTATGGGGGTAAAGCTTTTTCATAATGAAATTTTTAAAATTTTTTGCGGGCAGTTTGGTCTTAAACATAACATTACAATTTGTATTTCCTAAGCTTTCATTTTTTTATAGAGGGCCCGGGCCTTTATAGACCAGATTATTTTCAGGCGGGTGGTTTACAAAGGGTTTTTTTGTGGAAAAAAAGAAGTGAAATTTTTTTACAGGGGCAAATTTTATTGCAAAAAATTTAACCCAAACTTCACTAAACACGAGGGGTGGGAACCCAAAAAATTTTTTTTAGACAACCCTGTTATTTAAAAAAATTTTTTTTTTTTTTCAAATTAACGCCAGTAAGCGTTTGTACTAGGCGGGCTATTTCCCAAATTCTGGGGCAAAAGAGTTATTTTAAAAAAATTAAAAACTTTTCTGTGGTAAAATATATGTTTTATGACTTTTGCTAAAAATTTGTTAAGATACTGACCTTTTGGTATTTTTAAGGTTTTCCATTTTTTCGGTATGAATGGGGCATGGGACGATTTTCCAAGGAAGGAAAATTTTTGGCAGGGTGCCCGTTCGGGGTGGGGGAAGGGATTAAATTTACGATCGTTTTAAATTTTTTCCGGCCCTCAGGACCAAAAAACCCAAAATAAAGCGTTTTCACCAGCATGGATGATTAACCAGCCCGCGCATCCCCTGCATTTTGACCCGGGTCTTGCTGTTCGCTAAAACCGTTTATAACAAAATAGTGATAAACGACCAGCATGTTTTTCCTGATCAGACCTTTCGCGGAAGCGCAGGCTTTTCTGGATCCATGCTGGTCGCAAACCCATTATGTTGGTATTGATGATCGATTTAATTTATGTTTCATCATTTGATTGAATAATTATGTAGTAGAATATCTTTGTATGCTGCTTCAAACACGTCTGCGTTTATATATTCTCAAATGACTGCAAACTGTATCTGATACATTTGATTGAGTTTATTTTACGAAAGAAATATTATAACAAAGTCATAACAGTATTATGTTTACTTATGATACATACATGTACTTACTTTTGGCGTTTAAAATTTAAACTGTTGAAAATTTTGTATAGCATGTATAAAATATAGTGATTTATTTTATGCTTTTCAGTGGATTACTGATTTATCCGTGAAAATTATATTTGATAATTTCACAGTGAAAATTATCAAAATATAATTTCACTTTTTTCAATGACGAAACTACTTTTTTAAGATTTTCCCCAAGTGGTACCTCAATTTTATTTTTACGAACAATTCTGACAATATCAGGCTGTTAAAAGAAATAGCAAAGCTGAAATAGATAAATAACTTAAATGTCAAAAGTAACACAGAGAGAAAACTTAATTCTATTCTTTCAAATTCCAATCACCAAATTTCGTCTCTAATTTTTTTTTGTTTCGTTTTTACAGTCTGAAAAATACATTCCTTCCCTATGCAAAACTGACATTTGGGCATATTAAAGTATCCTACGAGCAATAACTGCCGTATGCTTTCTGAAAAATTGAAAAGCATTGACAGCCATCACTCGTAAAATAAGTAAAACAACCCAGCGTTCCTTCAACAAGCTTCCAAGTTTTCCATTTTCCTAGCTCCTTTTCTGAATGTTTTTACTTCTGTCAACACTTTTTTTTGTCTGTTACAATCCTCAAATAAGTTTTCTTTCTTTTAAAAAGGTGTATGACTAACAAATCCAAATTATTTCCTTCTGAATCTTACACAATTATTTTCCTCCCATGAAATACACAACTTTAAAAAATGGCTGCCGTTTACATTTTAGAAAGCCAGGTCTAATATAAATTCGCAGTAAGTAACAGAAATATGGATGGATGGTTGGAATTTTCTCCTGCAAGAATTGTTTGTTTTTATTATTAAGACAAGCGATCATTCATATTTTTTTAATAAAATGAATAAATATCACCGTCATTTAAACTTGATTGGCGACTTATTTTTCAGCTCAAGACTTCTTGTTTTAAATGAGAAATTCCGTCTAAATGGGGCTCTACAATGGGGGAAAACAGATTTTAATATTAACGTTTAAAATTATAATGGAAATTTTCGTTTTAAACTTGTTTTTAAGCATAAAATAAAAAGAAAATTTGTCTGTTTGTTGTGTAAGATGTAATTTTATTTCATCTCGTGAACTTTAAAAACAGTATTCTCACTCGTGGCTACGCCACTCGTGAGAATACTGTTTTTAAAGCTCACTCGATGAAATAAAATTTCATCTTACACACAAACAAACAAATATCCTCTATATAAACAACCACGTTGTATTGTTTTAGAAACTGAACCCCTGGAATCATAAGGAAGACGTCACGCATGTTCCTGTAACTAAGCTTACGTCACTAGTCAACGACACGTCTGCATTGAAACCTATACCTGATAAGAAGTTTTATCTGGCTATGGACTTTAACAAGGTTGATGACTTTCACTACCATGACAACAAATATTATCCACTGTCTGCAATCAATGATACACTGAGACTGTTTGTACCACAGATAAACCACGTGTCGTTAATCCTACCACCATCGCCGCCACTCACACAGCTTGCTGATTTAGATAAAGTATGCTCAAGTCTTTTCTTGTATTTTTATTTCTCATTATCACCTTATTAGCAAGATTAACTTTTTCAGATATGTTAGTAATAGAAAGAGCATCGAAACACGAGGCTATCTGATTTGTACGAGGGGTGTAGCCCCCGAGTATTAATCAGATTGCCAAGTGTTTCGATGTTCTTTTTCTTGTGTATAAACATAAGAACGCATTCCCTGCCGTCACAACATGAAACCCAGAAGAGTAACCAATGAACGAGCATCTGAATATGATTTTCTATCGCTTTCCTTTACTCTGCCGTCCCCAGTAAAATAAGCCAATCAATTGACATGCAGTGGCGTACGGGTAACTAATACCTGCACTCCAGTTAACGAACTGTGCATGTATATATATACGATTTAACTCTTGACACATTTTCAACAGAAAAGTCCCCATACTATGATACAATTTCGGTTATTATATGTTCTTTCATTAAAAAATCAATTAAATGCGTGTAATACCATTTGCTTGTATGTGCTAACAAGCTATAATAAATGACGCACGAGCGGGCACCTGAATAGAACTAGTGATGTTCTGACGTGTAAATTTGTATTTTATCTATCCTGGCATTAATCCCTATTGTGTAAACCTTTTTATTACTTTTTTCTGATGTATGACTAGCCGATATTCGTTTTCTGATCTAGATAATCAAACCAATTTTGTTCCATACAGAACGCAAACATCTTGTACTTGCTACACTTTTTAATTACATGTAAATGTTTTAAATCATCAGAACTTGTTTTGCAACTATGAAACAGTTGACGATAGAAACTGCACAGAGAATTACTGCGAGTGTGTTTACAGACTGCATGTAGATTTAAATGATGTTGTGGAATTGGTGATCTTAGATGAAGGTCAAACATACAACGCAAATCACCCGATGCATTTACATGGCCATAAGTTCAATGTAATTGGAATGGAAAAAGTATGTAATCATTAAGTTATATCGATTTTAGTTTTCGTGACAATATATATTGGATACATACATAGTGATAAGAAGCCCACATTTCACATGAATCTTTACCTTTGTTTTTGTATTGCTTTTGATTTGATTTTGTTTTCAATTGTATTGTATTCTATTTAAAGTGACATTTCATTTTGTTGTATTGTATTTAAAATGACATGCTCATTTGCCATTGTCACATTGAGCTGAATTGATTATATATAAACCAAAAGATAGACTTATGGTGATTGATCAAAAGTTAGTATATAAATTAAGTTTAGGATAAAATATAAATTTCCCCCAAATATAAAACGACTGTCGCACTCTTTTGATAAATTGAACTTTGAAGGTTAATTTCGATGAATATCCAAATTATGAAATTGTAAGGAATTAAGTAAAATGTGCACTTATTTTGAATTTAACCTACTAGTATTTAGTCACTATATAGTATATACGCTTGAATGGACATAAAGTCCTTTTAATTATAAAATTAGGACACACGTTATATCTGCTTTAATAGAATATAAAATAGTATAGATTAAAACAAAATAACAACAAATATAGGCTACTTTCCTTTTAATTTAATTGAATTCTAAAACAGTTTAAAAGAAGTTATTGTGAAATTTGGTTTCTTTACCTCCAGTTAGGAGACACTCTGACATTGGATAAAGTGAAACAGCTTGATGCCGAGGGAAAACTACACAGAAACTTTGTAGATCCCGTCTTCAAGGATACGGTTACAATACCAGATGGCGGGTACACTATTATACGATTCCACGCAAACAATCCGGGTAAACCTTTTTCTATGTTATAGTACTTTTTGTAAGCCCAACAGCATTGATACATTAAAATATCTGGATTCAAAGATTAACCAGCGAGAGAAAAATTCACGGAACGCAACAATGTGTAGTCACACTGGACCACTGGAAACGTATAAAAAATATCTTAAAATGTTGATAATTTTTTTGTAGTGATACAAATTAAAGAAGTTTAACGATCTTTGATCAGGGTGGCTTCATATAAAACATGTATTTTCATTATCGTGGAATTCTTGAATCTTAATTGAAAAACGTTCGTTTGGTAAAAGATTATTTTACAAAAATATATGGAGAAAATATAATTTTGCATCATTGTATGTTACTATGCCATGATATCAGGAATATTTAGATATCCTTATATTTGCATAGCAGTTATCTTTCTTCAAAGATAAACTGTGATAAACTTTATGTAAGATATTTATAATGAAGAAATGTATTGGAATCTAGGAAACTCTTACTGCATATGTCAAATTTGATTAAGAGAATACACAAACTATGTTTGGGAAGATTCATTCCCTTTTATTGGTCAAGTTAATTTGATCATTTCTTTAAAATATGCCATTTTTCAAATTTTACCATGTATTTATACTGTGTTTACCTATAGTAACGTAATATATCTTCTCTGTGTGTACTCAAAAGATTGTAAAATTAGAAATAGCCTTTATAGCAATTGTCAGAATTTTTAAGTATCTTTGTGCATGCTGTTTCTTAGTGTATTAAATTGTTTGTTTGTTTGTTTGTTTCATTTTACGCCTTTTTCAACAGTATTTCAGTCATATAGGCGGGTAGTTTCCTAACCATCGTTCCTGGAGAGTTACACCAGTACTAGACTACCTTCCTCCGCGCTAAACTACCAAAGCATCTCCCGGGGATCGAACCCACGCCAGAGAGATAACTGGATTAGAAGTCATCGACTCTAACTTGTTGGGATCAAATGAAAGTTACGTGACATGAAAATATTTTATTGCCATCATTTATTATTTGCTAAAACGTGTTTTTCAGGGTTCTGGTTCTTTCATTGTCATATAGAATTCCATGTGGATATTGGTATGGGCTTAATCATACATACTGGAAACGAAACTGACCTTCCACAAGTACCTAAGAATTTCCCAAGGTGTGGGAACTGGAAATATACCGGATAAATTAACAGACACTAAAAGATCAATGCTTATTTATAATCATCTTTAATTTGAGAACGTGTCGACCATGGAACAAAGATTTAATCAGAGTGCGTCTGTGCATCTGTTTAAAGGTGTTCACCTTTATTTTCACTTATTTCCTTTACTATATTTGTAGCCTTTGAATAAAAAGATATAGATAACTGCTGTGTTACTTTTGTCTTTATTGTCTTCAAATGTTATGTGTAATTAAAGATGTTTCATTTTATATAACTCTATCCTTATATCTGTAAATACAATGTACTTCAAAAGTGCAACAACAATGCTCTGAAGTACTTAACATATTACAGGATGGGCACATTAGTTCAAACTGGACTTGGCCATCCTTAAAACAAATGTTTGTTGGCCATCCTTAAAAAAAATGTTTGTTTGCAGTAACCCGACCCAGAATTTTGAAGGTGGGTAGGTCGGTCGATTTTTTTTTATTGAACTGTACTCCCAAATAAACATGGACTTTCAAAATGCTGGACAATATATGGTTTGATAATCTGGTAACAATTAATAAATTGATAACTGAATTCTAATTTGATGAAACCTACATTTTATTTCTTCCATTAACCTATAAAAGAACCAAAACAAAGCACAAGGCATAATTTTCTGATTGATATTTTTTTTTCATCCAGACCATGAAAAAAAATTTGAGCAGGGGCAAATTTTGTGAGTCGGTCGCGTTACTGCAAACGAACATTTTTTAAGAATGGCCCGCGGCAGTGAGTTGCTAAATTATAAGCAAACTACACTGACAGTAACAGTCACTGTTGCCGTTTATGGCATGTTCCTGATTACGTATATTTGATAACTTGTGTTGTCTGATTTGAAATTTAATGATATTCGCCAAACACAGTGAACAATCTAGAAACAGATGTAACAAGAAAAATATTACATACATTCGTATGTAATATAGGTACGATTGCATACTACTTTTTGTGAAGACTTAAAGTTTGCTGCATGAAAGGTGTAATGTAAAATGAACATGTCATGAGATATAGCAACGGACCTATTCCTGATTTTTTTTGTGTAATGTGTATTTTATAACACTTGCAACAATCAATACCAAATGGTTCTATTGCATTTCTATAGTGCTAACAGGTTATAATACTGTTTAGAGATACCATAATATTATAAAAAGTGGAGATGAAAAGACCAGGGTTTTGAGGGTGAAACGTCCAGGGGTGAAACATCCAGGAGGTGTAAAGTCCAAACACCTAGAAGAACTAAACAAGGTGTCCATTTATTATTTAATCTTATTCTGACAAATACTTACTGTGACAACAGACAACAGTTTAATACAACAGTAAATTAAATATGACTAAAGTGTAACAACATAAAAGGTAGTTGTACCAAATAAAGGACATCATTACACAAATACAATAACCATCGCAGTCAAACTAGCAAAACTAATGAAATAAATGACTTTTGTTACTTCTATTCGTGAACACTTTTCTTCTTTTAACATACTATTCACATTTTTATCTTCCATCATGCACCACATATAAAAAGAAGCACTATGAAATGACTAAGTGAAATAATAAGATACATCAGGTCAAAATATTTCCTATAATTATATGCAGACTCACGAAAACTGTGTCAACTCGTCAGTTGTCGACTCGATGAGTGGAATAGTACTGTGATCTATTAAGTGAACTAGTTAAAGTGGTTATTAGCTAAATATGAAATGTAAGACATTTTCATAATAAACAACTGCCAAAATGTAACCAGCTTTGTTAGGGAAAGTTAAAAATAAGACGGTATAAAATTCAACATGTCGCATCAAAGACAAGAGCTGTCATTAGACACAGAGCGAACCCCTCTTATAGAAACAGAAATCAATGCAGGGTTCGATCAAGAAAACAGTTGTAGCAGAGAGCACCAATTGCGTTTTGAGGAAAACACTAACGAGAAGGATATACTGTATGAAATTCACACTGCTTCCGGAGGTCACGTAAATGTGAGAAATGGTGAGATTCCTGATGATGTACCTAGGAATACTACAACGTAAGGGTTTAATTTGGTTATATAAATGCTGCTGAATGCCTACACTAATCTGTTTTTAAGTGTGTAAGTAAGAGGACCGTGCATTCATTAAAGCTAGAGCACACGCATGGGTTGAACATTTCACAAATTAATCGGGTGTTAATCTTATACTTTTGTTGTGGCGTTGTTTTGTTTGTTTTTAAAATACACGCTAGATTTCTTTTATTTGAAACATCACTGATAGTATCTGTTACATAGCCCTTAACGCTGTAGAAAACTATTTATTTAAGTGCTTTGCTTTCAGCGGACATAATCATGTGTTGAGAATATTGATGCCAATAAATCATTTGAAACAGACAACGGGAATTCAAGTTATAAAATAGAAAAAAAATGACACACAATTAAATAAATCTTTTTCATTATACAATTTATAATTATATATTTTTTAGCTCAAGATGGAAAAGAAAAACTGGTAATTCTGATTTATACTGTATAAAACATCTTTGTTTCCTACACTATCTCATTTCCTGAATTTTTGTTTTCCTTTATCAATATTTTTGTAACTTATTGTTGTCATAAACAACGTCTTTTTCAGATATAATTCAATATTCCTATTCCTAAATTACAATTATCTTTAAAATAGCAATGTTTTATCGCAATCAAATAATTTAACAAGTCTTTGCATTCTTTTAATCTCTCTTACATTACGTTTGAGAAGAAAAAGAAGAAATTAATGTTCCATCAGTTCTAAAAGCAAAAATGATGTATTACAAATTAGCAGGAAAATTAAAAACTTTAAAAAAAAATCAGAGGTAGAATGACATGTTTCAAAAATCTTTATTTAACAATTTTCAGGAAACATCCGAAAAGTTCAAATCTTTACAACTTATTTAAAGTCATTTATCATTTTTTAAGGAATACAGAATGTCTTATGCACCTTTTGAAAGGAAACACTGGAGTAGGGATACTTGCTTTGCCAGTTGCCTATAAGAATGGTGGACTCTGGGTAAGCTGGATCATTAAAAACATAATAACATATGTTCATCATGTCAAGTCACATACTGTAATAAAGAACTCAGCAAATTAAGTTTGTTTTAGTGTCAAATTACTATGTTGTTTTGTAAGGCTTTAACTCGTTTCTAATTTATTATGCAACCTTATTAAGTGACACATAGTGGCTTAAATTCTGTATATACAATGTATATATAGTGTATTTACCAGTCAAATTCATTAGACTATTTATCATGGACATGATAATATGTGTGTTAATCAATTCATATTTAAAAATCGTAACATGTTTAGCTATGGTCAAGACTTTGTTTTTTATATTTCGTCTCAGCTGAGTCTTGGATTTGTGACTGTCATTGGAATGATTTGCACTCACTGTATGCACGTTTTAATACGGTCTGGAAACGAACTTCAGAGGAGGTGAGTGAATAATCTATGTCTGGTCAATGACATGCTTATATTTCTAAATAGATTTTATGTTAAAACGCATACGAATGATATGAAATATATAATATGTACATGTATTTTCAATAATGTCCGATATAGTATGCAGTATCTTTGTCTGTTAAAGCTGCTTGCCTCAAAGTTAGCCAAAATGAACCTTGAGAAAATATGTACCAAGATTTTAAGAAAAGTAAAAAATTCACAATTCAAGAACGATATTCATGTTATATGAAATAAATGGTTGATTCAGCATTTTTTAAAACCATATTTACTGCGGCGCTAACGCCATAACGGCTATTGTCACATATTCTGACCTATCATTGGAAATTTTCGTAGATTTTAGTGTAGTTTGCAATGTGTAAATTGCTACCTTTGTTCACTTGATAACATCTTACTTTTTAGAAATATTTCATTTTTATTATGAATTTATTTCACTAAACTTTTGTACAGTTTGAAATTTTAAAAAAATTATTGTACAGAAATAAAGGCATGCATTTAGATTATGCAAGCGTCATGGAGGCGGCATTTGAAACAAGAACTGATTGGTTAAAAAATTGGAGCAATTTTGCAAGGTAAGAATGACTTCGACTTTTTATTTCATCATATAAATTTTAGGATTCATCGATCCAACAATTCTTCGATTGTAAAGTTAAACTTTTTCTAGATAGTGGAACTGTTTTTGTTAAATTGTTTTATAGCTGATTATTTACTGCTTTGATTTCAACTCTTAAGAAAATTATTGTTAATAAAATAACAATACTATCATGGACCAATATGAGCGACATATCTGTGTTATTTTTCTGTTCTAGGAGAATGGTAAATACATTTCTAGTCACCACACAACTTGGGTTTTGTTGTACATATATAGTCTTTATCGCTGAAAATATAAAACAAGTAAATACAATTTTATACTATAAATTTAACACCGACTTAATAAGACAAATGAAAACGTTTAAATATTAAAATAATACTGCAAAAGTTGAAAAAGAGTTTTTACAACAAAGAATGCAGCACTAAAAGTGAAAGTTGCATATTCTACCCAAGAATTGTCATTCTGGACACTTACAATGTCTAAAGCATAAAAATTAAAGTACAATGCAATTGTTATTAAGAACTGAGAAAAAAAAGAAAATATACCAAAATCAGGGCAAACAATGTAGTGAATGAATATACGTGTATTATAGCAAAACCAGGAGATGATGAAAGGGACCAAGAATATAAATTTATCAAATATGTCTGTTTATGTATACTAATCAGTCTACTTTTGGTTTAAAGGATTTCTATTGAAAAATTATTTTATCATTCAATAATTGTTCGCATGTTATGATACTTAAGAAAAATGAGTATGCAAATTGTCAACTACTTTGAGTATCTACGTACTATATAAAAAGAAAGTATTCAATAAATTTGAATCATTTTATCACTTGAAAATACCAGTAACGCATAATCTTTGTTTCAGGTTATTGAATACTCTGCCCCAGTTTTATTAGATACAAAACTTTACATTGTCATGGTAACGGCGCTGCTCATACCGTACTCGATGGTTAGAAGCCTAAAAATTCTAGCACCATTCTCAGCTATTGCCAATCTTCTAAACCTGGCTGGATTTGTGTTGATAATGGTGAACTTGTGGCAAAACATACCAGATATTCGTACTCGAAAGTCCATAGCTGAAGTTCAGAATTTGCCATTATTCTTTGGACAAGTTTTGTTTGCATTTGAAGGTATCGGGTTGGTAAGAATGTGCACGCTAATAGGTGCACGATTTTGCTAAATTTGTATTATAACGCCGGTCCTTTTGTTACCTTTATTTGGTTTTTGTAAGTTAATTTCAATAAAATACATGTATTGTCATCCACAAGTGATTGCTACTTCAAGAACTAATGATGAAGCATTAATGTTTTCGAACACAGTGCTTTAATTAATACAATAAAGTCAGCTTGAATACAAAAGTCAGAATAACTGATGTTCTTACAATATGGTTTCAACAAAATTATTGTTAATATGTAGTTCTCGGTACTTGCGCAATGAATTGTCCTTATTTTGATCAGGTACTTCCGTTATACAAGAAGATGAAGGATCAAGACGCGTTTCTGGGTAAAGTTGGAGTACTCAATCTTGGTTTAACCTTAGTTATAGTACTTGACAATGCTGTAGGTTTCTACGGCTACCTGAAATATGGAGAAGATACCAGGGGCAGTATAACACTAAATCTTCCAAATGACCAGTGGTATATAACATCGTTATTGCCAAATTAGTAGAACATGCATTTTATATTCCTCATCCTTTCAACGAAAAAACACACATTTTCTGCTTGTCTAAATTTGAGAAAGAAATTTAGAAATAAAATTAGTCTACTACTCTTCTACTATAGAAAGTGATATAAAACACTAACATTTATCAAAAATCAAAGTATATAACCTAAGTAGATTTATCTAAAGGTATAACTAATTTGGCTATGAATAGCAGAAAAAAGTATTACATCCATTAAATTTAGCATTATTTATTGATGAAAGCTTGCAACTTATTTGAACCTATATCGAGGTTAGTATCTGTTATTGACCAGTAATTGTGTCAGTACGACTCGAATACATGATTCTTGTGTTGAGTTGAAAATACTTAAACCACTTTTTTATTGTCACGATAGTTACTTTAGTTTTTACTTGTTTCTTTGATAAACATTTTAAAAAAAAGTTACTTTCAATCTACAGGTACAATCTGTGTGCGAAGCTTTTCTTTGCGGTCTCAGTGTTCCTGAGTTATGCTGTACAGTTTTATGTACCTGTTGAGATAATATGGCATTATACGAAGAAACGGAGTAAATCAAGACAAATATCTATACCATTTTATGCAGAATATATACTGAGATTAGTCTTAGTTTTATTAACATGTAAGTTCTTTCTTACATTTATACAGTGTCTCAGAAGACACCTTCTTACATGGAAGTTTGCATGATTAATTTATCATTTCTATAACATATAGGGGCAAATTGTTCGTCTTCTTGTACAATAAAAATATTACATATTCTATATTCATATGTACAAATCGATCTTAACATAGATTAACGTGTGCGAAGTTGCTGAAATTTCGTAAACGCGCTTAAGTTCACGACGAATTTTACTTCACATTACGGTTATAAGGTGTGTACGTACTTTGTGCCATCATTAAACAACTCTGTTTATTAAATACAGTTTGAAAGTTACCATTTTACTTTAGACAAGGAAACCATAACTGTTAACTATTACAATTCCAGGTGGACTTTCTGCACTTGTACCACATCTAGATCTTCTTATTGCACTGATTGGCGCGTGTGAAAGTTCTTTCCTAGCTCTTATTCTGCCGGCTGTTATAGAAATAACCACATTTGACTGCAAAAAAAATGTTAAGATCAAAAATGGAATTTTCATAATACTAGGACTTGTTGGATGCGTTACTGGAACATATTCTTCTCTTTTAGAAATAATTAAAACATTTTAAATAAAATTGTCCTTTCACATCAAAGATGGTGACTAATAAAATTAGAGTTATCCCTACGAACTTCAATTTGTACCGCTAATAAATCGATTGACAATACATAAATAAGTGCACTAATCCATAAATGTGATAACCGAGCGTAATTCCAAGGATAATCATGGCCACCCGTTAAGTATTCACATGTCGAAAATGTTTTGTGAAATGAATAATTTTCTAGCATTGCCTGTGTCTGTTATACATTCAAAGGTAATCAAGCCGAAGTGTATGAGTTATCAGATACAAAAGAAATTGTGCAATGCAACTATCAATAAGTAGTAAAATGTTTGCCTTGCATTTTTATGGAAATTTGTTGTTGAAATGTTTAACAGTAGTGACTGCTTTATTCATGTATGAACTACATGCATTTATTATATAATTTATTTGAGTATTAAGTTGTATTTTATTTTTGTTTTCTCCGACAATGAAAGAAGCAACACTAGCCATTCATTTACATTTACTATGATTCTGTTCTTGTGAACTTACATTTGTTGTCTTAAATGTCGCACATTTAATTTTATTTTCTGATATGCTTTGTTAATTGAAAGGAATAAATCTTTTATCTCTATGAATATATGTCATGCAAGTTTGAACATCAACTCGCCATTAAAGTATCAATGTCAAGTAATGAGGCACATCATATTGTGAGTTTCTATTATTCAGTCTATTTTAAAACGTGTTTCAAGCAATCATTAATCTTTACCTTGTTAAGACAAAAATATTTTCTTATTCTGTAATTTCAAGAAAACGGAAATAATGGCTTTCGTGTTCTGACTTTTTATTGTATGCAAAGAACTATCCCCTTGAACCTACAAAATACAATATATTGAAAACCTACTAAAATGCACTGTCTCGGGAACCTACTAAAACAGAGGTTTGTTTTGTGAACATTTAAAATCTCACTTGCTAGCAAAAATTCTTAAATACACTATCTTGTAATCCTATTAAAATACGCTGTCTTGTAAGCCTATCAAAAAATGGCTTGTGAAACTATTAAAACACACTGTCAAGTGTACTATTAAAACACAAAGTAATGTAAAACTACTAAAACATATTGTCACGTGAAACTAGTAAAACACACTGTCATGTGAAACTTTTAAAACACATTGTCACGTGAAACTGACATGTGAAATTACTAAAACCAACTGTCATGTCAAAACACAATCTCATCTGAAACTCTTAAAACCCAGTCATGTGAAACTATTAAAACACACTGTCACGTGAAACTACTAAAACACACTGTCATGTGAAATTACTAAAACACACTGTCATGTCAAACTTTTAAAACACATTGTCATGTAAAACTTTTAAAACACACTGTCTTGTGAAACTATCTTAACACACTGTCACGTGAAACTACTAAAACACACTGTCACGTGAATCTACTTAAACACACTGTCATGTGAAGCTATTAAAATACACTGTCACTTAATCTATTAAAACACACTGTCATGTGAAATTACTTAAACACATTGTCATGTGAAACTATTAAATCACACTGTCATGAGAAAGAACTAAAACACACTGTCATGTGAAGCTTTTAAAACACACTGCCATGTGAAGCTTTTAAAACACACTGTCTTCTTAGACTATTAAAACACACTGTCTTGTGAAACTATTTAAACACATTGTCATGTGAAACAATTGAAACACACAGTCATATGAAACTATTAAAACACACTGTCATGTGAAACTATTAAAACACACTGTCATGTGAAAATATTAAAACACACTGTCACGTGGAACTATTTAAACACACTGTCTTGTGAGACTATTAAAACACACTGTCATGTGATACGATTTAAACACATTGTCATGTGAAACTATTAAAACATACTGCCATGTGAAACTATTAAAACACACTGCCATGTAAACCTGTTAAAACGCTGTCTTGTAAACCTATTAAAATATACTCACTACTGAACCTACTTAACATACAGATATGCGAACATGTTATATCATAGTGTATAATGAACCAACTAAAGCACACTATCATGTGAACCTATCAAAACACGCTGCTAAACAAACTGCCTTGTAAACCTACTTAAGACACTGGCTTGTCTTGTGTACCTTCTTAAATTCACTGTCGGGAAAAGGCGTAAAATGAAACAAACAAACAAACAAACTAAATACATTGTCTGTAAACCTACTACATTTTACAAGAACAAAATTTCACTGTGAGCGCTAAAGAAAGGTTGGTAATTCAGGTTATGTCTTTAACTCGCCATTCGTACTTTATTCGTACTTTTCATATTTTTTTACCCTTACTACGCTAAGAATTTTAAATGGACTTCATGGTCAATCTTTCCGATCATTATTTTAGAAACAATATTCAAAGCAAGTACTAAATGAATAAAAAACAGTCACAACAACAAACTACGCTGGTCACCGGGGAAAAATCAGTTCCTAGGCTTCGGGTCAAATATTTAATAAAGCGAGGTTGACAATACATGTGGTATTCATTATAAAACACAATATAAAACTCTATCAGTTTCTCGAGGAACATGACAAGCAAAATTACCAACAAGTTAACGCATCTTTTAATGACATATTCAAATCGTAAATTGCTATCAATGACTTTTTCATGCATGACCTTAGTTATATAGTACAATGCTATTCTTGCAGAAGATTAAATGTACTTTGTTTGAAAAAGAACCGTTAAGTATTTGCAAATTGTTTTACATATTTATAAAGAAGCGTTGATTATTTGTAGTGTGTATAATATAAGTTAAAAAGATATGTAATTGTCAAGTATTGTTGATTATTTTTTGATAAATACATTATGATACGTGAAAATTAATTACACACTTACAGTACTGTGAATTACCGAACATTTGTGTGGCACCAAATTATGAGCATGTGTATTCTAGGAAGGGCATAAGAATTATAATATTTGTTTCCGGATTGTCTAGAAACATCGTATTTACTTAGAGAAACGGTGTAAACTATCATAATCATGATTAAACATTGTATGAACTAAAGCGCATTTATTTGCATCAACATTACTTTTACCAGCACATCAAAGATAGGCAAGTCATATCCTAACAATAATGCACTGTGACTTTTTTCTTCTTCTTCTTCACGGATTAGTGTACCGTTGATTATTTTCTCTCTTGGATTCGATTTAATTAAAACAAATTAATTATTTCATTTGTGCAAATAAATGTCATAAATAAACACGACACTTAAGTCAAGCATCTAGCGCTTTCTTTAAGGTCCATGTAACGTACAAAAGCTATCATTAATATTGTTTCAAAATGTTTTTATCTTTGTTGTTCTGTTATAGTTAAAAAAGACAAGTAGTAACTCATTGGCCATTTACGTAAGCAATCCTTTGCTTCTGTTGCTTTTTGGAAGCAAATAGTATTGGCCTATCATTTTATTCCCTGACTATATTTGCCATTTTGTACCCAGAAAACATTTAGAAAGAGAACCGAAAAGGTATGTTTACATAATTCTATTTATTCGTTAATTCTTTTTGTATTATTTAAAATTGCATATTGCATTAAATCATAAGTAAATATTAAAATATTAGTAACCATACCATGTATCGTCTGAAAAATAAACATCGTGAGAAATGAATTGTTCTACTCAGGAAAAAAATATTTGTGCATTTTTATTTGAAATTATTACAATCGATGTAAAATTGACACATAAAAAAGATAAATATATTTTGGTTGGTTATTTCAGATCTGATCTTCAAACTGCCATTTTTATACCAATTATTCAGATTGATTTTAAAGATGGCACAAGTAAATTCTACTTCGAATGATTCATCGGTTATCAAAGATGATACGACTGAGATGACGTCCGCTTTAACTGAAATAAGTAGGGGTACTGGACCAGTTATGCTTGGCGTTAACTACTTCTTGCTACTGGTTAGCGTTGTAATTGTGATGTTTGACGTTTTCGCTGTTCAAGTCCTGGCGACAAGTCGGCGAATTCCGCGTCGATGTTTATACTTCTCTGTTAGCTTCATCGTCAGTGATGCCGTCAACTCGGTATTCTTTTCCCTTTTCCAGTTGTGTATATACAGCTTCAATTACTATACAGTTATTGTCCACTACTCGAGAATATTTACGATTGGAATCATGAATAATATTTCGTCTGCTTCAATGGGCGCGGTAATGCTAGAGAGAGTGATTGCGCTGAATACCGGGATCAGGTACAGCAAACGAATGAATGGAGGTTGTGTGAAGGCAAGCATTGTCATGCTTTGGACTTTGCATACACTAATAGTCTTATCATCTCTTGCTGTTGGATTTTGGAATCATTGCAATTTGCAGCTGGACTACTGCGATTTTTGGAATGCAACAAGGCTAGCCCGCTTTACGGTAATTGGAGTGATGATATTTTACGACATCATATTGGTGACTTCTTACGTTTCAATTTGCAGGGTGGCGAGGCGGCATTTAAACAACATACTGGCAATGAAAAAATTGTCTTTTTCTAACACAACGCCAGACACTAGTAGCATAAGTGAACGTCAGTATGCAACAACCCAGGCTATAATATATGTAGTAGTTGCCTTTCTTATACTTCAAGCACCAATCAACATTCACATAATACTGAGTGAAACAAGTGATACCATACGTCACGAGTTCGTCATGAGAATATTCCTCGGCATCTCTTACCTATGCCTTCAAGTCCACTCGTTCATAAATATATATCTTTATGTTGGCAAGTTCAAAGAATGCAAAATGAGATTCTTCTACATTTTGTCGCGCTTTTTCCAAGGTTTTGAAAATCGGGCGGAACAATTACGCATTGAAGTATTTGACATTGTTGTTTCATCAGAAGTTAAAAGCCCGCATGTTCCATCAACGAGAAATTAACGGGAAGGGTATATTCTAGAATTTTTTAATACAAAGTAATGCTGTACACTAGTATACAATAGAGAATGTAAAAAACGGCGGTTGTTTAGAGAAAGACATTTTCAAAGGAAAGTTCTGGATCAAAGACATCCTATCTCTACCATCAAATACAAAGGTACTACAATTATACAATGTCACAAAGTGAAAGTACT